TATTCTTACACGGTAATTTCTTTTATCATTCTAATCATTCACTTCACACTTTTTAAACCAAATGAAATATCAAAGGTTCTGTAGGATTATTTTTGGATCCTGCACATGTTTCACCACACAATTAATCTGTTTGTCAGAAATACTAGTTAACTTCTTTTCTTTACTACTTTCCTTTACTAGTGATTTTTCTCTATTATATAAGTTGAAACTACCCCTGCCTTGTAAAAAGACAGACTTTTGATGCTTTTGGCTCAGTTTATTAAGGATTTTTCAATTGTGCACTAGGCATTACAATAAAATATTTTAATTTTTATAAAGTTTTATAATTGAATATTTTCCTGTATTTATATCTCAACTGCAATATTTATTTAGTCTTTTTACATGTCTTTACTTAGTTAAATCGCAGAGATAAATATGGTTGTTACTTTGCAGGGAAGATTCAGTACATTAATATAAACTGTACACTAATTCCCCCAAAGCATATATATATGTTGTAAACCTGAAGACTTTTTACACAGCTGCTTATTGCTAAACAGTGCCTTGTCCAGAAGGGGACAATCTGTGTCTCTAATTGCTGTCACTGAAGCTGAGATTCATTATGTGACTTTCCCATTAAAATGTGAGCATTAATTTGTATAATGAAATATCACCCACTGCAGTGTTCATTAGCCATGCCCTACTGTATACTGCACATTGTTAGCTACCTAGAAACTGTAGTTAATTTCACTAATGGATATTTCCCTACTTAGTGTTTGGTAGGAAATTTATACTGTAACATTACCTCTTAAACTTTTAAGGAAATTTAAATTCAATCAATTATTTTCAACAAAAGTTTGGGATGTCATTAAGACAGGAGAAAAGGCACGCTGTACAATGTTAAGGATGGGAAATCTGGAGAAATCTAGAGAAATGAAAAGTCCTTTTAGTTCATCTTAGAAATGTAAGAATAAAGGATGTTCAACACCAAAATTGTCTCCTCTTGGAGCACACATACCCATTTTCCTTAATTATTCATATTGCTCATCCCACTACAAGCGCCTTCAGAGAATGGCAACAGGCAGTCTTTTTTTAGGAAGAAAATGTGAACTGAATTCATTTAAAACAGCACCATTTTTACTGTATTTCATCAGTTCATCTAAGCAAGTTTTAAAATTGGCTAGTCACATTTCCAAGGGAAAATGCAGTAACACTGTAAATATATATTATAACTATAACTGTATATAATACATCTAATACATGTAAGATGTGTGTCATACGTACCATACTCTCAGGCAGTGCACACAGCCCTGATAAGTTTTTACTTCCTATCCCTCTGTTTCTTAGATTTCTTCTGTTTAGCACAACCCAAACCTTCTTCAGGGCTCTACTTTGCTCACACACGTTATTCTTTTCTCTATTACTTGGGGATTTAACTGTGCCAGTCATACTGGGAATATACCTGACCACCTAATGACCACACAAACTCAAACTGATCTACATCTGCAGTAGCTTCTGAACGGTAACACAAGCTGCAAAGAGGTGCCAGAGCTAATCTGAAACCAGCCCAAACATAATGTGTCACTTGTGAAGGGTAGGACATAAGAAATTTTAAGTTTTTACGTTTAACGGTTTCTGTGCAGTCCAAAGGCCTAGGCAGGTAAAGTAAAAACCACACCCATTTATTTTATTCCAGCGGGAAATGAGAGTGCTCAAGAACATAAAGAAGATGCTCAGCTCCCTGAACAAACGAACCTTAAATTGCTGCCCCTAAAGGGGAAAAATGGAAACTCTGGAAGCATCTGCACATGGCACATTACGGGTCTGAGGTACTCAGATAGTTTTCTTTTTCACAGAGTCTGAGCATCAATAAGCCTCCTGTGTTATAAACTTCTCAGCTGTATTATATATTATTTTATAACCAGGAAGCTGAATCACAAAGTGGCCATTCCACCCACATGTCTGCTGCACTACTGGTACATATATATGCTTTGCCCTTGTTTCTGCATCTCTTCACACAGTGAGTTTGCGTGACTTGAAGCAGGTAGCTCTGAAGAAGCAGGACCATATAGCCCATGTCTATTCACTGGTCAACATAAAGAAGTCATCCAGGAGGGCTACAAGAATTCTCTCTGGCCTCTATACCCCAAGGCTCTGAAGGATTTTGCCCTAAGAGTCCTTCCTCTCTTCTCTTGGGGTCATACTAAGGAAATGTGTCATCCTTCAAATGTTTTTAGAGCAAGAAAGAGGAGAAACTGATTTCACACAATTATGCCCTTTTCTTCTTATCATATGGGAACAATCAGAAATCATATCTTACTATCTTCCCCTTAAAGCTTTTCCTGGATGAATATCATTGAATTAGATAAGAAAAATCCTCTACAATTGTGTGTTGGGACTCAACGGAGTGTGCTAAATAAAACTTTGATTTTTTTTTTTTTTTTCCTTCAGAAGCTTATTATATGATAGCAAACTACACAGAAACTGAGACTTAGTGTGGAGAAGGTTGCAACCAGGAAATATCCAATGGGAAAAGGAAGCAACCCAAGCCAATAGCTACTTCTTCTAAAACAGAGCACAGCTTCCTCCTCTAGTGGAGGATTAAACCACTTCTCTAGCTTTTTTGGGCCAATTGCCACAGAAGCAACTCCTGGCTGGATCAGACTTTAGGTCTTGTTTTGGCATGCATACCAAACCAACCTACTCTGTGCCTCCAAACACACAGATGTTCGAAGGAACCTGACTTCTGCTGAACTGCTTGAGCTCATCTCTAACAAACAGGTGCTGTGAGAACAAGAACAGTAATTGAGTTAATGTAGTGGAGAAACACAGTAAAGTGTTCTTTATCAGTCAGTTATATGATCCAGGCATATAATAAAGACAGAGCGTGACATAAAAGGCAGGAAACTGTCCCTGATAAGTATGAGCTAACCAATATTTGTTTAATAACTGGTATCTATTACATCATTTCCATTTACTGCAAAGCAACTTAATTTTTATTTAATAACTCTAGTAATTTGCCAATTTACATTTTTATATTTATTAGGATTATTTCCAATATGTAAAACAAAGCTCCATTTAAAAATACTCTTGTCGTTATTTACAAATACTTTGTTCTCAACCTAATGGAAGTTGATTTTATCTGTTCTTAAATTATAATGATTTTTAAATATATTACAAACGTTTCAACAATCTGTATGATGTTTTGGGTTTTTTTGTTATTTTATAGATGGTTTATTTTTTTCCTGTTTTGATTTTGTTTAGTCAGTTTTAATATGCAAGTTTTATGGAATATTGCCTTTGCAATTAATTTACTTTCCATCAGTTCTAAGCCACAAATACGAAATGCGTAATCACTGCCATCTTTGAAACAAGAACAAAATGACCACTAGATAATAAAGCAAAAGGGACAGATGGGTATCCTCAGGTTATTTTAAAGAATTTTTCTTTGCATCTCCAATAGAAAAAATGTCAAACTGTTTAAACCTCATAGTTACAAGATTATTGTCCAATAAAATAACTACCATTCATTTACTTTTACTACATTAGAGAGCACACAAATAGGGTTTTCACAGTGTTTCTTTTTTTTTTTTTCCTGCCTTAAATGTTTTGCCATCCAATCAGACAAAACTACATTAGGGTGCCAAATTTAAAAATTTTGATCAAACCAGTTTGGTATACTACTACTCCTCAATCCAAAGAAAGAAGAAAAAAAAATACAATGAACAAACTTTCCCATCTCAGCAATGAAATTTTTTTCTTTAAATAACTTTCAGCCTTCATTTTCAATTTTTCAAAATGAGGCCTCACATTTGCAAACCCAACATTAAGTATTACCTCTGCACAAGCACAAAGAACAAACATGACTGATTTTGGGAAGGGAGGAAAATACTGCTTATCTGGTACTTCAGTGAAATAAAAATTAAAGTAAAGTTTTTCAAGTAGGAGGTACAACTGGAACTATTTCTTAATGCAATTTATTTTAGCCCTCAATTAAAAAGTAGCAGTAAAATTCTGAAATTCATTTAAAAGTGTTTAAGAAGGAAGTGACTCCACCATTACAGTGTCCACTATATCTGTTTCCAAAGAGAAGTATCCTAAATCTCCAGTTTTGCATAGTCTCCCAAAGCCTACTATGATACTTAAGACTTGGAAATAACAGTATCATATTGGCCATATACAGAATTTCTAGTGATGTCAACAGGACCTGAGGATATCAATGCTGTATGTCAGATTTTAATCATGGATCAAATAAGTCTTCCTAAATATATACTATACCTCCACATGAACTTGACCACGCACATACACACTTTTAAGCAAACAAGGTATTATAATTCAAATGGAGTGGTTATAGTTTACTGGTATTGAAATCACCCAGTGATTGACATACCAACATAAAGTGACAATCCATACCAGTAGTAAGCCTCTGTAGGGTAGAAATGCTGTGATTGTTACTAAAATGAAACATGGTAAGTTCTACCATGGTGCAAAACATGGTGTTTTATTACTTACAAGTACTAAGTCAGGTGATTTCTAGTGGGGGGAAAAAAAAAAAAAAAACCAAACCAAAAAAATCCGAGATCCACGAAGCTGATGTATTCATATGAACAGTGAGAGGTTAAAAATGAGCATGCTAAATGGAACAAAAATAGTAACTCTGAGAAAAACATACAGACTCCCTAAGCAGATGCTAAGGAAGGCCTTTGAAGCAGTTAGTATAACTAAGTCTGAAACCAATAGGCTTATGCCTATTGAAGGACAAGGGTAATTGAAGGAAACAGTGATGAAGCAGGGAAGGAGACAGAAATAACCTCAACTGGGAAAAGATGATTCTATTAAAGTGGTCTTTATCCAACAACACATTCCTTGTGCTTTTATTTAAGACTGTCATGTATCTTTCTCAAAAGACTTTCTCCAACTAATGAGCCCAAATCTACCCTGGGAATTAAGGCTCCTAGCCACATATTATGTTACCCCCACCCCCCACATGTGTCGCCAGTGCTCCACTCGCTTGTTCCTCTCACCTGTATGTATTCTCAAGTGGACCTTTAAGTGATGTGATGTTCTGAAAGTTTTTCCACAATATGGGCAGTCTTTCATGGCAGAACCAAGGCTCCTGTCTCTCAGTAAAGCTGGCTGCTGGACTCCTACAGATCTCCCAGCTTCTTCTCCAATGTCTGCAACACAGAAATGTTCTCACATCACTTCAGCACATGTCAGAAGTTGTTCTCACTAAAACTGCTAACACAACACAAAGTTAAACATGTCAATACTACACCTGTCTATTTCATTCTTCAAATCTGACAGAATGCTGATAATTCATGTATTTTCTTGTTATTGTCTTAAATTATTTCATCTTTCCTATCATCATTTTAAGCAGCATATGGTACCTTTATATTGAACTGAATTATACACGAAAAGAAACAGCTGTGTCAGCAGCTGGTTTGATTTCTTCTTTTGCTTAGTTCCTATTAATTTTTCCAAAAAAAGTTTTAGATTGTTATTTTATTGAATCTATTTAATTTATAAGTATTGTGAAAATCTGTATGCTTTTAGAGGGAAAAAGTTTGCATCAGTATATTAAAACCTCCCAAAACAACAGAATTGCAGTGACTGTAGGGTCCAACAGCAGTGGTGAGGTCTACACACAAAGCTAATCAACTTCCTTCTACAATGTTTCAGCATTGGAGTTACAACACAACCTAGTGAGTGACCTAATATCATGGGAAAAGCAATGAAAAAATCAGTCAGATGAGGGGGAATTCCTTCTCCCTCTCACCCACAGCTCCTGAGTTTTCTCCTTCAGTGTTCACAGCTACATTTATTCGTTCCATTGTAATACAATGGGTGAGATTCTAGGACATCTCATCTCTCTCCTGATATAAAGAAACAGTCATTCTCAGCCATCTTGAATAAGCTGCTATTATCCAAGCAGGCTACGAATAAACTAACTTACAAAAGACTGACATAAAAATTGCAAAAATGTAGGGCATTTTAAAAAAGTCATTATTGAAACCACACAAGACTCATCTATCATCTTGTACTTACAGGGTCATGTAATATCACGCATAGGTATCAAAATGTAAATTCACCAAAAAGTACCCCGGCAAATGCTGAAATTCTGAACTGGATTTACACTACTAGCATGCCACAGAGGTGCAATACACACGGACACATCATCACACTCCTAGGCAAAAGCTGAGCTATCTGGGTTCTATTGAGGTGGAGAGCACATAGTTAAAATCTGCATGCAGAGCCTTGATTATTTCAACCATAAAATACTGTCTAAAAATGTTCTGCCTTTACCCATTTGATATGTAACTAAAGCTGTCAGGAAACATAGCGCAGTTTACACAGCATTGCCTTTTAAATGGAAGTGATGGGACATAAGAGACTTAAACATTTGGCTCTAATAAAAAGTATTCACACAGTAGCAGAGACCCAAATACTACATTTCTGGAAAAGGTAAGACCAACAGGCATCTGGTTATTTATTATAAAATGGTCCCTCTAAACTATTTTGCTTAAAGTTGAAAGAAGGGAACAATAGAGTGAATAAAAAAAAAAAATATATATATAAATGCATATCTGAGTAATGTACATAACCAAGCTATTGCTAGTTTTCAAAAGGCAAAATCTGATAGTTTTCACATCACATTCTTGTTTAACATTTTCTGATTGTTCTTAGACTGCAGAGTTAAAGCACAATATTTAAGTTAGAAAGCTAGTAACTGTCATTTTGAATTATTCACAAGTATGTAAAGTAACATACTGCAGGAGTTTATTTTGTCTTTAGGAGACCAGGAAAACATATATAGGTGCTAGTCTATAATTCCAATCTCCCTAAAGAGTTTAGATTTTCCCTTTTATTTCTCCTCAAAAGTTGTATATATTCAAGTCTTAAGCTGCTTCAGGAAAAAATGAATTCCTGAGTGCAAAAAGATTTTTCTGAAGTGCAAAATACAGAATGCATGATGATAAACTGCAGGATGTTACTTTGGTTTTCAATAAATACTATATGAGCATTATAGATAAATATATAGATAAAGCTAACAAGCCACTCAGGAGGAATTTACTGAATAAGTCTACTAGTTATGTTTTGCTATATGTCACTCTAAATGATGGCCTGTTATCCATTTGCCTTTTATCTTTCTATCTAGAATATGTGTGGCCCAATAAAAAAGAATAAATTTGTAAGATAAACAGCTCGCTTTGCAGATTTAAGAGTCTAATTTTCACTTTACACAAAATTGAATTTTTTCAAGGCAGTAAGACGACGGAGTTTACTCTAGCACTAATCCCTCTGAAAAAGCAAACTGAAAACAACAATGAAGCAAAGACAGATGTGGGTGGTCTGAAGAGTTTTCTTTTAGATTTAAGTAGACATACAGTAGATAGCTCCAAAGGCTTTGCTCCAACAGGGGCCTTACCTTGAAGAATTTTTCTTCCCACAGTGAAAGCATTCCTAAGACTTTAAAGCTGGGCTGAGGGGTTTTCTTTTGAATTCCTCTGCCTACAAAGCCCACCGAAGTGCTGGAGGCCATTGCTACCTGAATGAGCAGCTTTACGTCTAAGTTCTTTTATTTCAAACAATGTAAAGATATGTTCAAGGCTGCCGACTCTCCCCATCAAATGCTATCCCAGCATCTTACTAGGGCCCCATCTGGCAAATCGTTCCCATTTGTCAAGGCACTTAAGTTTAAAATGTGCTTAACTTTAAAATGCATTTAAGTTTCACTGACTCTGCTATCAAGTTTTTCTTATACTGAGTCTCTTAAAGCAATCTATGGAAAGTGAAGGGGGAGAAAAGTGACACAAAAGAAGAGATCAGCAAGGAAAAAGTTAAGAAGCAAACTGGTAAATACAGGCTATGCCAACAACAGTGTATGTGGGGAGTCAAACATCTTCAGCTCTTCCAATAATCATGTACTCTACACCTCTGATGTCCCCTTTCTCCTGCTATGGAGACCACCTTCCTAAGTAGAAACTCTCAGTTCTGTTAAATTGTGCAAAACTGTACTAATGTTTTGCAAACCTGCTGACCTAGGATTAGCCCCAGCAAATTAATTTAATTTATGATTTGCTTGGGATTTGAGCTATGGTTTTTGGGCTGCTCAATTCTGAGGATAAAAGATCAGGAAGGAAAGAGAACAGTTACTTATCTTACAGCCATTGTGGTTCACTGAGTTATGTGGTCTACATGATATGCACTCCACGCATGTGAGATTAGACTGCTTTTTTTACTGTATACTTCCATTATAGGCAGTCCTGCGTCCTGAATGTCTTCCTGCCCATCCCCACCTTTCCTGATTCGAGTGCAGGAAATAACAGAACAGAGTACAAAATATCATGTAGATGTACATGCTAGATGTAAGGCTTCCAAGCCTTGTCTCTGAACTTACTTTTGCTGAGCTTTCCTTTCACTTTGAAAGCATCTGTTCATGACAAAAGCCATGGACATAAGTGCAAAAAGCAACATTCAGTTCCATATATGAAACTGGTCTTTGTGTCAATATAAGGAGAAGGCAACAGCTGTGAGACCTCCAGCTGCTACGTGGACTGTACTGCTTCGTGGCACAGGACGCAGAGGAATTCAGCCATGAAGCAGCTTCTAGAGTGGTATGACAGGGACATAACTTGCGTACCATGCCTCAGCTACACTTAATAACTGACTGTGCACATGTTCTCATGAGACAAACGCAAGAAAAGAAAGTTCACTTTGGCATCTGTATCAGAAGGCGGCAACTAGGCACTTAACCAAAGAGCCAGTTTGGACAAAATGTTAGCAAATCTATTTGCCACACAAACTGAAATTAAGCAATCCACAAGATCAGTAGGACTGATCAGAAGGACAAGCCCTTCTTCAGACAGATGCCCACTTGTCAGAAGAGGAGGAACAAAAAGCCACCTCTCCTTGCCTAGCATGGAGATGACCCATGTAGTGCTGTAGGCTGCTTTCACATCCGGAAACAAAATTTCCACAGAGCCAGATAATCCCAATAAACAGTTTTGAGCCAGGAGCACTTTTACAGTAGCAGGTTAAAAGAAAGTGAGAAACACACTACTGAATCCTTATCTTACTAGGTAAAAGAAATGATCTACTCGTGGCTGGCAGTGCCCTCAGCACATTGGTAAAGATGCTACAGAGGCACAATGTCAACTTCAGTGCATATTTCTACAAAAAAAGAAGACAAACTTAGGTGGATAGTGAATCAGTGTACTCAAAGCAGAAGCTATCTAGCCAGTCATATGAAGAGCAAAAGAAAAAGAACTATTTGAAATTTCCATACATGTTCTGCATGACTGCTCTACCTGTCTGGGATGAGCCTATAAACATGATTAGAAAAGGATTGAGTGCTTTTGTAAAAAGCAACCTGTTTCCAGTTGGTTAGGTAGCAGCACTGACTTCAGTCATGTTAGCAGCCAAATTTTCAAAGGAGGATCTACATACGTCTCCCATAAATTTTACCAGAGTATTTATTTCCTGCATGTATGTGAAAGTGCAGAGATTCACAAAGAGGTACTTTCATGTTCAAAGGAGCTAAATTGCAGTCCTCATGCAGACTAAATTATCAATGAAGTCAGTTGGAATCTGTCGACACAAGGATTGCCAAATTAGGCAAAAACAGGCAGTCACATGGAAAAGGTAATCATCTCACAAAATAGGTAATCACACTTACAAGTATGTGTTTGCTCTTGCACATTTTTCAGACATTATTAAAGAACCCTTTGAAAATGTGGCCAGAAGCCTTTAAAGCTGCACATAATCCCAGGTTTTCATATATTATATGAAATACAATATATTTGTAGTTCTTTAGACCTGACTGTAAAGTTAATGAAACATGGTGCAACAAAAAGTGGTAGTGACCGTGGTTATTTTTTGATGATCTATAAACCACTCAGATTAGCCCATATTATACCAGGAAAAATTATATCTGGAATCTAATATCAAGAAGGGAGATAGAAGATATACAGGGTGTTAATCCTGTCACTGCTGCCACCTTTATGCAAGTATGCCTGGACTCGACCACCTCATTCGCTGGGAAGAAGTATAGGATACACGAAGTTTTGGGGAAAACACGTTTTACCTTTCTTGCCTATTCCTTAGAGAAAGCTTTAATAATACTGAATATAGTGGAAAATAGGAATATAATTAGGGATATAATTAACTATATTTT